TTGTTTATAGTGATCACACCCACACTGAATGATCCTCTTGAACTAGTAAAGATAATGTTGATTAAATCCCGTTTGATCCTACAGTATATTCTGTGGCATATGGCCATCTGAGCTCTAGTGTGTGCATACAAAATGCAAATCCAGGGGAAAGGGAGAATCAGATATGCATCATCCTGTGCAATTAAGATGAGTCGATATCTTGAGGAGCCTATTGCAACACACTGATAGACCAATCAGCTTAAACCAGCTTGAGGGAGACGTTGATGCCACTGAATAAACCAAGACTCTCTCTTTGCTGGACTCTCCATCAGATTACTACTGCTCATGGTTTGAAGGTAATAGTAATTGCCACAAACAGTTAGTAACAGATTTGACCACATTTCTTTTTCACAAATAAAAATATGGTTTAATTCTTTTTTGACTATATGTAGATCACTTGGATTTATTTTGAATTAATAGCCGGGGAACTTTCAGAATTATATTGAGTTATTGCCTCTACCCCTTTTTGGACAACAACTTCAACTTTCACTACCCTGCAGCGTTCCAGACCATTAGTTTGTTTTTTTACTGTGCAAAAACATTTTAAAGGGCAAACAAAACCACAACAGAAAAATCATATATGAACTGCTGGGATGATATGAGGGTCAACCTATTAGAAAAAAACAAAAAAAACCAAAACATAACACTATCAAATAACATGGTGCTTGAGTTAGAAGTGCTGCCATAATATAAGATTTTTATTGACAACAGGTAGCCTACTGGGTATGTGAATACATATATTATTCTCCTTTGTAAATAAAGGAGTGGGTAAAGCTTTAAAATAAATCTTCTATTGCTATACATAATTTAATTGAACATTGTTCAAAAAAGACACCCTTTAGTTTGATTTCTCTCACTTTAGTGGGGGAAAAAGTTTAATTTAATGAAATAATCGACAAATGTTGGTATACATATAAGTCCCTTTATTATAAATACTGTATAGATGTGAATAAATATACATTATTTTAAATATTTTCCCCAATGTACCTAAATTAAAGTTTACATTTTTTCTAATTTCTGCCTTGTGAAATTAGAAAACTACAGTAAAAGGTAAAAATTTTTTTATAAATCTGTACCACGAAGGTCAATACAATGGTATGCCTCTCTAGTGATAGTTCAAAAATAAATTAAGAATATTGGTTCAAACTGGTAATAGTTTTGACTGATCAGCGCAGGGATTTTCACTTCAGGTACTTTTGGTATATCCTTGGAAATATCATGAAATTCAACTTATTGAAACTTAATGAAATGTAGCTATTTGTTCTAGCAAATTTTCTGAATAATTCAGTGACCAAATTCCAATTGGGAAGTGTAATGAAATTAAGCTGGTTCATCCATCCTCTGACAGAGTGACCTACTGTAGTAAATAGAGTAAATCAGGGTGTAAAAGTAGTGCTGTATAAATTATATAACTCCCCATTATTCAACAACAGAGAAACAGGCAAGAAGTTAATGGTAATTTAGAAAAAGGTGCAGAAGTCCACTGTTCAAGTGGGAAAATCTGTGACTTACATTAGTCATGCGAACTGCACACCATTCTTTGTGTAGAATAATTCTGAAAGTATTCAGACCCCTTTAAATTTTTCACTTTTTGTTTCTTTTCAGCTATTTGCTAAAACCAAAAAACGTAATTTTATTTCTCATTAAAAACAGAAATGTAGAAATTTTTTGCAAATTTATATAAAAAAAAACCCTCCTTGAGATGGTTCTGCTCCTTCATTTGAGTCCAGCTGTGTTTAATTAAACCGAATGGACTTGATTAGGAAAGGCACACACCTGTCACACCTGTCTATATAAGACCTTCCAGCTCACAGTGCTTGTCGGAGCAAATGAGAATCATGAGCTCGAAGGAACTGCCCAAGGAGCTCAGAGAAAGAATTGTGGCAAGGCACAGATCTGGCCAAGGTTACAAAACTAATTCTGCAGCACTCAATGTTCCTAAGAGAAAAGTGGCCTCCATAATCCTTAAATGGAAGAAGTTTGGGAAGACCAGAACTCTTCCTAGACCTGACTGTTCAGCCAAACTAAGCAATTGTGGGAGAAGAGCCTTGGTGAGAGCGGTAAAGAGGAACCAAAAGATCACTGTGACTGAGATCCAGGGATACAGTAGGGAGAGTGGAGAAAGTTCCACAACGTCAATAATCACTGCTGACCTCCACCAGTCAGGTTTATGGCAGAGTGGCCAGATGAAAGCCTCTCCTCAGTGCAAGACATTTGAAAGCCTGCATAGAGTTTGCCAAAAACCACATGAAGGACTCCTAGACTATGACAAAGATTCTCTGGTCCAATGAGACCACGTTATTATTTGTAAGCTGTGGAGAAAACCAGACACTGCTCATCACCTGGTCAATACAGTCCCCGGGGGGTTCCTTGGTTTCCTTGTTGGCTAGTACAGCCAAGAAGACTCATGGCTGTACTAGCTGAAATGGGTGCTTCTACTCAATACTGAGCAAAGGGTCTGAATACTTATGACAATGTGATATTGGAGTTTTTCTTTTCTACATTTGTTTTTTTCTGTCAAGATGGGGTGCCTAGTGTACATTAATGAGAAATAAAATGAACTTTTTTTTAATATTAGCAAATGGCTGCAATGAAGCAGAGTTAAAAAAAAATTTAAGGGGTTTGAGCACTTTCCCTACCCACTGTATGTATAATTTCTGTTTCAGTTCAGTTATTTGCTACTTTTTTGTTGCCCTATCACACCGCATATCACTTGACTACCATCAAGGTCAGGGTTATATTACTGTATGACAAAATGTGGAGTAATATGAATAGTCTTGCACAGCAAATATGAAGGAAAGTGGTCCAATTAGTTTAAACTTAATTTCTCAAAGCAAGTCTTTCATAATACTGCAACTATGTCTGCTTCAGGTTCCTAAACGAATCCCCTTTTCTGTAGCTCTGTTTTTTTTATGGGAGAACAGTGCATGGTTTAGTGACTTCCAGCGATGTTTTGAACAGATTTACTCTTGTTTGCTCCTTGTATATATTGTACAAAAACATATAAATCTGCCTCTTTTAGCCAATTTCTTATGTGTTGGTTTAGCTGACATGCTGGCTTTAAATAGATTTTTACCAAAAATGTCTGCAGGTTAGCTTAATCACCCACAAGGCTGACGTAAAAACTGGAGAAAACATGAAGTGTTTTGTTCTGCTTTCTTGGGGTCACATTAGCAACAGAAATATTTCATTGGCATCACCACCAGCAACCCCCTTTGACTGCTCATAAACTCAGATGTGGGTTTACATTGTAACATGGAGACTTTTATTGCAAATTATACGGATTCGATAAAAGGGACTTGTTAATACCATATTCAAAAAATAATAATCAACATCCAGTACATTTCATATGGAATACTAGCATGGTCTTAAGTGCTCAAACAAGTAACCAGCATTAACTCCGAACTGTCACCACAATGTGCCACAACAATCGTTATCATAAATCAAGAGCAAGTTGATTGAAATAAATCATATACAAACACAGCCTGGTGATCTGTAGAGGTATGTATTTTCAGACCAAGGTTATGAATCAAGATTTTGGAAAAGAAAAACCACTTCCATTTAAAGTTGGAAGGTCTGTAAAATGGCCAACTTTTCAAAAATACTGGTTAATTTTGAACATGCAGCACAACCATACTCTCTGCACATTGTCGAACGAGTGTGTGAAAACTAAGACTACACACTGGCTCTACAGATCAAAAGGTACCTATTTTCTCCAAATATACACACATTGATTCTGATCTATTATACTGATATACTGGTTCACACCCTCTGCTTTAAAAAGTAGGCAAATTTCATTGCAAACATTGCTCTTTTAAACATACCTAAATCAACAGCAGTAATGGCATCTAAAGGAACCTGACGACATTAGAAACTATGCCATACTGTGTTTCATTCAAATAAATGTCATATATCCAGTTTTACATGTTTCAAAACGCAGTGTTTATACATTTTAATAAAGGAAGAGAATAAATATACGTCTGAACCATTTTCCATTATACTTTAAACACTGAAACAAAATCAAATGGTGCAGTAACTTTATAGTTGGTAAAATAAGCCAGAAATAATTTCCGTACAAAAAGAAAACAGAACCCAAAATATATCACCATGTAAATAATGACAGTGTTTGTGCTTTAAGTCTTTTAACCGCAATGGCTATTGTTCTACAGATCTTCAGTCACAAGTTTACCTGTGAAAATACTGTGAACCTGATGGTTAGTCCTCCGGTTGTCGGGCAGAATATAACACAGTTTAAATTCCAACAACCTCGCAAACATGTTAACCTCAACTAAAAATTCAGCATCTGTATCTGAGGCAACTGATACATCTGAAAAAATACTTATTAAGGGCTGTAATTCTCCTCAGCTTTATCCTGGAATACAAGTCAGATGATGGTTGATAAACATTCGGTCATCAGAAAGGAGGAGATTCTAAGTGAGAGCTACTGGAAGTGTCCTTTGGAGGAAATGGAAATGCATGTGTCAATGGTAAATGTATGAGCATATTAGTATGAGAATATTAAGGCATTACAGTATTTCTGTTTTATTGATGTGGGTTGAGGGTACAGTGCCTTTCAAAAGTATCCATAATCCCTCTACTTTTCATATAGTATTATCTAAAAACCACCAGCTTCGATGTTTGACTGGTATTTTATAAAATGGCGAATGAACACAAGGTAGTGCATATTTGTGAATGATCAGAAAATAACAAATGCTTTTTAAGAATAGAAATCTGGAAATTGTGCCATGTACTGCAGTTGCTCCTATGTTAGTGGTCTAAAATAAATTTAAAATATGCTTAATGCTTTCAAATGTTTACCTACTTATTGAATAAAGTCCATGTAACTCCTAACATTGAATCCTTCTGTTCTGGGTAGTGCTAAAATCCCAGTGTGAAAATTTCAATGTCAGTATTATGCTGTGGGGAATGCTTTTCTTCAGCAGGGGCAGGAAAAAGCAAAATATCTGAGACTCAGCAGACTAATAATTAAACAAGACAAAGAGGCTGAACATACAGCCAGATCCGTACCGAAAACGGATGTGTTAGAATCTCTCAGGCCTGAATTCAATTCAATAGTTATTTGCACAAGACTTGAAAATCTATGTTTTTTGAAAGAAAGAATTTGAATATATTTTTCTGTCCTTAAATGTCTTTGAACACATCAAAAGGTGATTCATCACAGTTTTAAAGTACTAATATTCATAGAATACATTTTCACTTTTAACTTTTTTTTAATTTCCTTTTGAAAATATTAATTTGCTTTTTCACTTCACTGCTCTACCTTGTGTTGGTTTATAGAACTAAAAATTCATAAATACAATTCAGATTGTGGTTGTATGAGAAAGTGTAGAAATGCTAATGGGGGTATTGATACTCTCACAAGGCACTACACCTTAGAATGAAAATGCTGCTCTTATAAGCTTTCCTTAAAAAAATTGGTCTGAAACTTAGAGACTGATCATCTTTGTTCACCCTCTTAGTATCAGGAGAAAAGTCAGATTTTAATATATATATATTTTTTTTCTGGTTAGGTTATTGAAGTATTTTGGTAAAACTTGCAGCCAACATCTGCAGTTGGCTGCTGAGGGATTGGAACCCAGTTCAGAAGAAAGAACTCTGCTCTGACACCTGTAGAAAGAGATTTCTTCTAAAGAGAGGTAAATCTTTAAACAACTGAACTTGGGCTTCCCTTCTTCCTACTAAGTGAAGTAAACTGTTTGAACAATCAGAACAAGCATGAAGAACAGGCTGTAGTATTTTCTATTAGGAAAAATGTAAACAGAAGCGCAGCGATGTTCCTCCATTCATACTGTACAAAGATATGATTTATGTTAATGCTCCTGGTGAGATGAGAGAAGCTGGTCCCGCAAACAAAACCCTACACTATACTGAAATATAAAGATACGATACAGGATATTTTGCTACTTTGACGGCTGCCTGATTAAAGCTGTCAGGCAGGCGTGGTAAATGAGGGACCCATTTCCGAAATACAACATCGCAATCCTTCAGGACTGTTTATCCACCTACTGAGAAATCATGGAAACATGGGTCTCAGATAAAGCCCAGCCATTTTTCTTCGTTTGTTTCTGCCCTCTTTTTTCCCCTGCGTATTTTAAGCACACTCTGTAATCAAATATGTTATTGTTAGAAATCTAAATGTCTTTCCTTTGTTCACCAGCCCATAATACATTCAATACATTGGTACGGTAATCTGTGTATTCAGAGACTTGGCACAATTGCTTCTTTTTAACCAAGTACAAAAATGAATGGAAAAGTTTGCGCCGTCGCCTTGCAGGGAAAAAGATGGAAGAAAGTAACTCGTTTGAGAGGCTGTTGATATGATTGAAGTTGGTGAGGTTGGGAGGGGGGTATGGGTGTTGAACACTAATTCACAAAGTGGTCTGTCAATTAGGAACATAATAAAATATATGAAAGAGAAAATAACAATAATGATAAAAAATAACATTGTAGCATTTACATGACAGATTTTTCACCAGAAAGCAAAGAAAAAAAATCCCCCACACAAAGAGAAGCTGATTATTTTCCCTCCTCAGCTTTCCACCAAACAGTACCAGATTGAATTTCAGCCATCAGCAATGTCAAAAAAAGGACTCATAAATGCTCTTGACAGTCACTGTGTCTGCGTCGACCACTGCTAGTACACGCTGATGAAGGAGGAGAGAGCCAGGACCAGGTATCGACAGGCCAGCGGGAGATGGGCGCTTCCTGTGCTCCCATAGGGCGCAGTGTTGGGTGCTGTGGGCAGGAAACAAGAGAAGCTCTGATTAGTTGTGATTGCACTTTCACTCTGCCGCACCAGTTATTTCCAAATCCGCAGTCTGCTTGCTTTGAGGCTTATAAATGAGAATGGCTAGAGCGGCAATTTACAGAGCCACTGTCACTGATTTGAGCTGGTTTGTGAGGAGGAACGTTACAGCATTATTCACAGCACTGAAGCTGAGTTTAACACCACACTTTTCTGTGCAATCAGTATTTTTAATGCTTTAGCTCCTTTAAGACCCAAGCTAGAACCAGACTTCAGAGAGTTGACAAAAAAAATATGAGAAAAGAAAGCAATTGTAAACTAAAAATAAAAAGTAGCATTTAGTCTTCACATGATAAATAGGCCTAAAGGTACATGTTTATTCAATAATTATAGGTTTATTATCTTCAAAAATGAAAGTGATCAATGCAGGTGGTTACATGCTGGTGAAATCTGATCGGTCAGATTATCTGTCTGGCTCTGCGGTTTTAAGCTAATAAGTAACAGGCAGCTTTATTCACTAGATGGGACATCCAGTGAAATTCTTGTAGTCAGAATGACTTCTCAGAACAAACAGAAGAAAGGAAAACTGGGGTTTGGCCAGAACAGTTTCTCCGTTTTAAGGATCTGGTTGATGTTGAAGTAGGTTTAAGTTCTCATTTTTGAGTCAAATAATCCCATTTGGACAATGCAGTGGCTGTCTATGCTTTATACTGTATGGGGTGGTATTAGAAATAACTTGGCTTTGTGCGTCACTGAAAATAACGAACCAGTAAGGCTGTATGAGATGTTCAGCAGCTTCTCCTTTATTCAGACTGCATTTGGGTGACGGTGGCATCAGGCGCAGGAAATTGCCCTGCAATTGGAGATTTGTTGGTTCGAGCCCCAGCTGTGGGGCTTCAATGTGGCGTCCTTGGGTAGGACACTTCACTGCTGCCTACTGTTGGTGGTCAGAGGGCCAGTGCGGCCAGGGTACGGCAGCCTCCCTTCTGTCAGTGAGACCTAGAGCAGCTGTGGCTACAAAGTAGTTTATCACCATCAGTGTGTGCGTGAATGGGTGACTTACTGAATGTTGTGTAAAGATCTTTAGTCAAGTCTCCTGACTTAAAAAAGGGCTCTATAAGTTGTTTTGGGGTATGCTCCGAGATAAGCTGTACTGAAAGTATGTTTTGTGACACTGCTATAAACAGTGATGCTAGTTTTATTTACATAAGATAATTTTCATCTTCTATTATATTCTGAGTATGCGACTAAAAGGTTTCCTAACAACTTTATTTTTAATATAATAGCAAAGCCCTGAAAATAATTAATTTTGTTTCATTCTTTCCCAGATTTGGATAGAAATAGAAAAAGAGACTGCTTTAAGTGTAGGTATGCAGATCTTTAGATCCTCCATGAGTTATCTAATCTGTCATTAAGACTGCAAATGTCTGGTTTTAAATATGAACAGAAAGTGACAAAACAGTTTATCATAAACATTATTTCTAATTGTATAATATATAAATAAGTTTTAGCACAGAATGACACAAATAGCATAAAGCAATTAACACAATGTGGAAAAAGAAAGGATATTTCTATTCTATTTTATCATTTCTATTCTATTTAAAATATATGCTTTAATTTTTAAATGGGCAAAATATTTTTACTACAGTTGACTATAATGTTTCCTTGTTGATTCAGTGGAACTTTTCTTACTTTTTATTTATTTATGATTATTTTCTGAATTCTGTAAATGATATTTTTTCCTAACAATTATAAATATTTTTGTATTTCTAAGTGAGTTTAATAACGGTGATAAAAGCAATGGTTCTTTGTTTTGTTATACTTGCACAACCTGCTCTACACCAAGATAAAGAGGGAGAATAGGGTTGTTTATTGCCAAGCATGCTAATTATATCAGTCATTAATTAAGATGCAAAAGTGAGTCTAAAAATACAAACAATGTAATAATTGTTTCTTAGAATAAGGGAAAAAAAACAATTTGAAAGTGACTGCTTCCTCACAGAGTGGCAATTTTCCTGCTAATATGCATTATTATGGCTGTTCACAGAGTTAAGGCTGTTCTTGAAGCTCTTATATCCTCTATTCCAACTCTAAGAGAGAAATCATAATTGACACTAGCTACACAAACAAAAAAACAACAACAAAAAAAAAACAACAGAGATCAGAAATCAAACAAAAGCTTTTCACATGGATGGTAGAAATCCCCTCATTAAGATCACAATATACCAACACTACTTTGCAGCAGCCGTGACGTTTTCAAAAATCTTACACCTTGCTTTAACCTGACTTGAAAAGGAAGACGTTGAAAATCGAAAATGTGTCCAACAGACTTTCCTTCCATCTCATCTATTTTCAGATGTTTGTCAAACATTTTTACCCAGTCTCCCATCCCCCTATGCTGGCTAACAAACCCCATCAGAGGGGAGGAGGACAAATGAGGGCAACACAATTTCTTTTCTCTTATTGCTACAGAAGGAGGCTTTTGTTTAGTGCTGTTTGTGTTTCTCTGACCACAAGACAGCCTCAGTAATATGAACAGGTCTCTCTGGGGACCGAGAAGTAGAGGGCGGCTTTTTATTTGGAGGGCCTCTGCTATCCCCCACCCCAACTGCCGTAACAGACACACTGTTTTCGCTAGAAGCTCAATACATGCTGCCTCGAAGGTTACAAAACATGCTCTCCATCAGCGCGCACATATACCTGCGTGTTCAGGTCACATGCATGCCTGCACATGGAGCACAGCAAGGCGGTGCAAACAGGCTCTGGTGTACCAAGGGAAATCATGTGGTGAACAGCCCATATCAGCAGGGTGCCTCTATTTACACTGCCGGGTAATTAGTTCACAATGTACAGTAACTCCTCTCAAGTAGTCACTAGCTCGCACTAGTACAGCGCACACAAACAAGAGATCTTGGGCATATAGTTTATTGTGTTTGCGAGCAAAAAAAACAGATCGCAGTTGTTTCTCTTCAGACAAAGATTATCAAACTAAACCACTGCTACTGAGAAGCTTGTATTTATTTAACTTTGTGTGGGTTGTCATTAGGGCGGTACATGTCTGCTACAGTACTGTCAAAATAAATAGGATGATTAAGAGATTGATTTTATCACCAATGCAATAGCATGCTGGAAACAATATTTAGAGAAAAAAAAAGCAGATTCCATTATTAAATGACAGTGCTATGTTTTTACCTATTATTTTCAGGCATTGCCAGCACTGAGGTTGTTTACTGTTTCATGTTAAAAACACTAGAAAGCACGACGGATGGAAATGGAAAAAAGAAAAAAATGCATAGAGGGACACATGTGGGTGAAAATTTTGATGATGTAGGGGGATGCTGGGAAGCTTGGCTGCCCCCCCCTTTCCTTTGCCTTTTTTTTTCTATCTTCCTCTCCCCTTTTCTACCCCATCCTCTCCCTTTGTATCCCTTCTCTCCCCTCCTGTCCAGAGTACAGGATAATGACACAGTTTTCCTGGGTTGCAAGAGTGAGCCGAGGAATGGTAGTCATAGCAACAGCTCCCGTCCTGCTCGACCAACCCACCATACCTCCAGCTCGAGTGCGCTTGCACAGAGCTATCCGTGCTTGAACAAATCTTTCAGCGTTTCTAAGTGCTTTTATGCACCTCAGGTGGCAGGTTGGAGATGAAAAAAAATGGCAGATTTGACTGTTTTCTCTACTTTGATTTTTTATCTGATCAGTGTCACCACTGTTTTCTGGCTGCACAGCTCGTTTTCATATCTCAGCTTTTCATGCAGCAGTTTAAGAGGCTCGGTAAGTAATTACTGGTTCACTGCTTTGGTTTGCAGTGACAGGCCTGGAAAGCATAACAATAAACCCCTCAGTGCTTCAGGATAGGAAATGTTAGGTGATGCTGCTGCAGCTGCATCCTCACAGCATTTAAGTTTGGAGATGTTTAATATCTTTCGGTGTCACTGCAAAGAGAAGGAGCCTCCTTTTGTTTTGACTGTGTGGGCTGAAACTTGCCACTTTAATTAACTCCCCAACCAGGAACTGCCTGCTATGCCTTCCCTATACTCATTAACATGAAGGTAAAGAAACAAGCACAAAGACACTGAGGGAGAAATAAAGGCAGATAGAGGCAATGGAAGGATTCATCAAAGACAGACAGAACAGGAAAAAATTAGACATTGATTGAATGGGGTTCAAGAGTAAAGACGCATCATTGGCGGACACAGGAGAGAGAGAAAAGCATGAAAAAAAGAGTGAGTGGGAGTGGGCTCTGCTTCTTTGGAGTTAGAATTTAATTGCCATGTACATCAACTCCAAGTTACAAAACGGACCAGAATCCCAGACAATACATCACAGAGAGACCAGCAGTGTCACAAAGCGCCAACGCCAGGAAAAGAAGCAGCCTTCTGAAGGGAGAGCAGCAGAGGAGATAAGTGGAGATGAAAGCGACACGCTCCAATTACTGTTTTGCAACAGAATTGAAATTAATAAAAATGAAAAAAATGAAAAAAAAAGGCACTATAGGCTTTCCAGCTGTAGCAGCAGTCATACAAACATAACAAACCCTGGTTGTCTCCCCAGAATCTGGAAAGCAGCCATTAGCTTTAAATAGCCTGCTGAGGGATGAGGCATACTTATTTCCCTGTCCTTGTTCCCTTCCTCCAATCACTCCCAAATCTACGTCGACAGCAGTTTTGTCACCCACATATCTCATATATACAGCAAATGCTAAGGCCCTGAACCTCAGCGGCTCTTGAGAAAGATAATGAATTGTAGAGACATACTGTATGCAACTGTGACAAACAGTGCAGCCTGCATCTTACACCATGCCATTACTCACTGGGAAACTTCTCTTTCTGCAGTAACTGTGCCACTCCCTTGCCCTCCTTTCAACACTAATATTAATAATAACTTTTTTGCAAAGAAAATAAATAAATACATTCTTTAAATAAACTGTTTATGTATATCTGTGGCTCATAAAACTCTTCATTCTTTATTTTGATACATAAATGATAGA